ACTAGAAATCATGCAAGGCGGACCCAGGTACGATTCTTGTGTAGCGAGGACCGAATGGACCAGATCCCGCCAGTCAGATGATTGTCCGCGGGAAGATTGTTCAAAGGAGGATTGTCCGCATGAGGATTGTTTGAAGTAGAATTGTCTGCTACAGACGAGTCAAGGAGTACGTGGAGGAAAAAGATTATCCGGAACTCTGGGGGAACGATACATTCGGATGCATCCTGTATCCCCATCAAATTTATCCATAAAATTCTGCTTATATTTCCAGAACATCAGTCAGAACTTTTTTTCTCCAGACATCCTTATTCGATTTTTTGTCTATTTTTCAGTATACCCTGAATATCCCTGTTGATCCTTCTGTCTATTCCGAAAATTCTTTCAATTCCGCTCGCATGCCGTCACAGTGTTGCCATATCTTTTTTGAAGCAACATGCATCAGGATGAGTGTCGTTCCCCAACGTTTTCCTTGAACGTCATTGATTGTCTCTGAAGATCTTTCCTGGAACTATCTTCCTGCGGACAATCGTCCAGTGGACAATCTTCCTCTGATCAATCTTCCTGCGGACCAGTGTTGGAAAAGTTCGCGATATTTCACGAAGTTCACCAAGGGAAAAGTTCGCGAGTCATAGGGAACTTTGATGAACTTTTCCATCACTGCTGCGGACAATTCTCTTCCTCCAAATAATCTTCGTGCGGACAATCCTCTTTCGAACAATCCTTCTGCGGACAACCCTCTTTCGAACAATCTTCCTGTGGACAATCCTCCTACGGACAATCCTCTTCTGAACTATCTTCCTGCGGACAATCGTCCTGTGGACAATCTTCTTCTGAGCAATTTTCCTGCTGACAATCCTCCTTCGAACAATCCTCCTGCGGACAATCCTCCTCCAAACAATCTTCCTGTCGACAATCTTCCTGCGGACAATCCTCTTTCGAACAATCCTCCCGCGGACAATCCTCTTCCTCCGGATAATCTTTCTCCTCGACTCGTCGGTAGCGGACAATATTCCTGCGGACAATCCTGCTGATAATCCTCCTTCGAACAATCCTCCTCCGAACAATCTTCCTGCGGACAATTCTCCTTCGTACAATCTTCTCCCGAACAATCTTTTTGCGGACAATCCTCCTCCGAACAATCCTTCGAACAACCTTCTCCCGAGCAAACTTCCTGTGGACAATCCTCCTTTGAACAATCTTCCTGCGGACAATCCTTATTCGAACAATCTTCGTGGGTACAATCGTTCTTCGAACAATCCTCCTGGGACAATCCAAATATATGATGTTCAAGGGCCCTGGAACTAATGAACTACTAGATTAGATAATTAACTATTTTAACTAGTTCCGCTTTTTTTTTGTTAGCATCCATGCCTCTCACGCCAAAGTCACGAGTTCAAATCTCAAAATGGCGAAACTAAAAGAAACGTGCTAAGGGATATGACACACCTCAATTTGACACCTGTTCTGGTACAAATTGCTGTCTTTTGCTCTAGTACCGGGTGCACCAGGTACACTAAAAAAAAACAGCTTGGTGAACAAAAAAAAAAATCGCGTGAAGGAGGTCCTTACCCTTTGGGTCCATGGTTTAAACGTTCAATTCGCGTTCAAGTTAGTTGAATTCAACTGACTTGATCAATTGACTTGTCCTGTCTAAACCCAGCTTTATACTCAACCCTGTTTAATCCTATCGAACTCGTAAGGCCTGCGGAATTATCCTATAAGACATTCGGAATCGGCACAAGCAATAGCAAAGTAAACCCATAAGACTTCTATAGCGGTAAACTCAATGGAGGATAATACGCCAATCTCAGATTATCCCTGATTTTGCTAAGCACCATGCCGTATTAGCCTCACTTTTAATCTCGGATATATCTTTAATATTCCGATTTCAGTAGTAGTTCTCAGAATTTCTCGTCGGAAGTTCTCTGTACGCTGGATTTCTCATCGGAGATTCTGTGAATTTTTGTGGAGTTCTCTGAATTTTTCGCCGGATGTTCTCCTCGAACAAACACTTCTCGTCGGAATTGCTCTGAACTTCTCCTCGGATGTTCGCTGAATATCTCCTCGAATGATCTTTGAACTTCTTGCCGGAAGTTCTTTGATCTTCTCCTCGCAAGCTCTCTGAACCACTCCTCGGAAATTCTCTGATGCTCTCCTTGACAGTTCTCTGAAATTCTTGTCGGAAGATCAGTTAAATTCTCCTCGGAAGTTCACTGAAATTCTTTTTGGAAGTTCTCTGAACTTCTTTTTGGTAGTTCTCTAAACTTCTTTTCGGAAGTTCTCTGACCTTCTCGTCTGACGAACATTTGAACGTCTCGTCGGAAGTTCTATGAACTTCTCGTCGGAACTTCTGTAACCGTTTGGTCACAAGTTCATAGGTTTTTGTCATGTATGTTATATATTCACAACCTTCACGTTTCTTGTGCAAGAACAGTAGCATACCACAGAAGTGATAGGGTTCTGTACCGCTGTGAAAATGTTGTGCCGTTACGTTATGTCCACCATAGAGCTACAAACAACCATACAAAACTAGGATGACTAGATGAAGGAAAATTGGGAGAAAGAACGGCCATTGCCCAAAATCGGCCTCTTTTAATATCAGGCGTCCGTGTGCTAAGACGCATTTTAATTAGCTAAGTGCAGTGGTTGGTACTTTTGAACGAGAACCAGGACCCCCCTCCCCACCTACACCGTAGCAGCAGCTAGCGTATGCTAGGGAAATTTCACATTCAGGACCTCTTTTATGTTGGACCTTAAAAAGGTCATCGGTCAGCACACGGCCGGCTCGTGAAATTGGAAACAGTTTCCGAGCCTAATTCTAGATAGAGCTGGAATTAGGGCGTAACAGCCTTTGTAAACAATAACTTCTCTTGTTGATTTCTCGGAATTCAAGGCATGCCTACACAAACCAACATATCCATCGGGTAGGAGATGTTGATGGTGATGTTGATTTGCTAGGGAGAGCCATGACTTCCGAGAAATCATCGAGAGAAGTCATTGTTTTCAAAAGCTGTTACGCCCTAATTCCAGCTCTATCTAGAATTGTCAAGGACTAAATACTATTATCTGGCCAAACGTAGGCCATAATCCCATTGGAGTTTTCCCTTCTCGGCTTGACCAACGAAGGACGACGCCTGCCATCCCACCGTCCAGCATCGCCCGCTGGCCCGTCATCCGCTCGCTTCGCCAATCTGGCGAGAGTTCCGGCCGCACAGTAGGACAGGAGTCACTGTGTCGGCCATCCCGATTCACCATCAACGGCAGCAGCGGTATGTACCGGTACAGTAAACAATGCGAATAGGCTACACGACGCATATTACACGAAATTATGAACACAGAACAACACGCACATAATACAGAAAGTGACGAATAAATGCATTTAAAGAAAAGTGAAAGTTCTTCATTTTTGTATCGCGAAACCCTCTGATTATCCGGTAGCTAGCCGACCCTGGGTGCTCCGGAGCTTGCTCTGAGTCGACCGGGTGCTGTATGTTTGATCTCCGAGTAGGTAGTTGCCGAGTGCTGAGTTCTTACATCAGTTATACTTCAGAGAACTTAAATGAAGTTCTGCGAACTTCTCGCAACATCCCTTTGGAAAATCTCTGAACGTTTCGTCTGAAGTTCCCAGAGCTTTTAGTCGGAAAATCTCTGTACTTTTGATCAGAAGTTTTCTGAACTGCACGTCGGAAGATCTCTAAACTTCTCGATAGAAGTTCTCTGAACCTCTCGTCGGAAATTCTTTCCGTCAAACTTCAGGGAACTTTGATTGCGAACTTCAGAGAAGTTCTCTGGACCTTAGTGTTTTTTTAATACTCTGAACTTCATGTCAGATCTCCCGGAAAAAAATTACCATACAATTACCATAGCATAAAATACAATTACATCAAAATCTATTGCCAAAAATAGATCTTATTGTACGTCTATTGTACAAGAAATTTTAACATATTGCTGTTACAATAGATTTACAATACGTCCTATATAGTAAGAATTTTCAACAATTGAACAACAATACAATTAATGGTAAATGGCCCATCTTTGTTCGGGAAAAAGTGATTTTTCCTATGGTTAAGATACATAACAACCCCCTTGTTCTATTGTAGATTTCCCCATTTACCACAGATTCTATTGTGAAAACAATACATGCTGTGGTTATTTTATCGTTGTAGACAATATGATTTATTACTATTGTATGGTTACAATACATTTCATTGTGCCTCTATGGTTCTCTTTTTTACGGGCTGTAAAGTTTTCGATGGAAGTTCTGTTAACCTTTTTTCGGAAATTATGCGTTCTGTGATCTTTTATGTGGACTGTGTGCTTCTGTGAACTACCGTTTAAGTTCAGAGCATTTGCCTGAAGTTTACAGAATTTCGCTTGAAGTTCAGAGAATTGCGTCTGAACTTATGAGAATTTTACCAGAAGTTCAGAGAACTTTGCATGAAGTTCAGAGAATTGCGCCTGAAGTCAAGAGAATTTCGCCTGAAATAAATTTGCATGAAGCTCAGAGAACTTCGTCTGAAGTTCAGAGAACTTCGCTCGATGTTCAGAGAGCTTCCTTTTAAGATCAGAGAACTTCGCTTGAAGTTACCAGATCATTCAGGGATTAATCGTTATTAGTTCTGTGATCTTCAAGAAAGTTTTGTAAACTCTAAAGTAATTTAGCGTACTGTAGAGTTGTTTTGTGAACTTCAGAGAAATTCTTCGAACGTCAAAAATTTCTGAGAGCTTCTCCGATTTTTTCTAATTTTAAGTTTAATCTAGTGATATTTGAATCATGTCTAAGGTTGAGGTGAAATGTTACTTCATCAGAACAGTGAGTCACCTCACATCTCACACAACGCAGAATAGGCCAGAAATTGAAATCTCTGCACTATGCATAGCCTCTCTGAAGTTTACAGGAAATTGGTGAAAGTTTGTAGAATCACTCTGTTTGTAAAATCACTCTGAAGTAAGACAGACATCATCAGAACGCATAGGACTTTTCTTAAGGCAGCAGGAAGTAGGTCTTGCTACTCGATATGCAGAGTAAATTTCTCATGGACCGGGGACCAACGCCTTTACTTCCCTTCCGAAGGAAGGCGTGTTCAGAGATTTGATGCCTCAGAAAATCCCGGCGACGCCGACTGGGATTGAACCCAGGCCCTTTGCGAAAGTTAATGATATGTTAAAGTTAAGTAAAACTTATGATAAAATTAATTTAAAATTGTGTTAACGTTCAGTAAAAGATAAGTTGAAGTTAAGTTAAACTGAAAGTTATGTTAAGTTAATAAGATACAGGTTAGTTAAAGTTAAGTTAAATTAGTTAACTAGTAAAAGTTATATTGTTAATAAAGATAAACTCAAGATAATTTAAAAGTTTTGTAAAAGTAAATGATATGTTGAAGTTAATGATATGTTAAAGTTAATAACATGTTAAAGTTATGATAAAGTTAAATTAAAATGTTGTTCAAGATAAGTTATACTTAAAGTTATTTTAAGTTGATGAGATAAAGTTTAGTTAAAGTTAAGCTAAAGATATGTTAAAGTTAAGTTAAAGAATACTTAGAATAGATTCTTTTGCAGAGATTGGCAAAATTTCCATTTGTTAGCTGAATCTGGGCAAGTTTTTCACTGAGATCCAGCAAAATAAAATTCCGAGCTGCTCGGTGGTGCCCATCTTGGCAAAAAAATCTAAGTTTGTATGTTAAAGTTAATTTCAGAGAACTTCAGGGAAACCTTTGGAGGTTCTACTTGGATTTTTTTTTTGAGTTTTTGGATGTTCTTGAAACTTCTTGAAACTTGACACCTCTTGGAAGTGCTTGTTTAGTTAAAATTAAGTTAAGTTTTAGATAACGTTTAGTTAAACTTATGTTTAGCTAAAGTTACAGCTAAGTTAATTAGTTAAAGATAAAATCAAGTTAATTTAAAATTGATTTATAGTTTATTGTAAGTTAAGCGAAGGTTTAGTTGAAGTATGGTTAAAGTTTAGTTAAAATTAAGTTAATGATATTTTAAGTTAAGTTAAAGTTATGATAAAATTATGTTAAAGCTAAGAAAAAGGTTAGTTCTTTTTAATAAAGTTATGCTTAAGTTAATTACAAGTTAAGTAAAATTAATAAGTTAAACTCTAGCAACATTAAATAAAAGTTTAGTTAAAGTTAAACTCAAGCTAAGTAAAAAATAATTTCAAATTATGTAAAAGCTTATTGAAGGTGTAGTTAAAGTTAACTCAAAATTAAGTTTAAGATATGTAAAAAATGCTAAAGTTAAGATAAAGTTATGTAAAACCTAGGATAAACTTGAGTTTTAATTATGTAAAATTTATTTCCAGGGAACTACAGGGAAACTTCAGTTCTTGGAAGTTTTTAGAAATTCTTGAATCATCTGAGAGTGTCAAGAAATTTCTTGACACTTCACTTGGAAGTTCTTGATGTGTTAAAATTAAGTCCAAGTTGAGCTAAAGTTATGCTTACGTTAAGTTGAAGTTAAAGCTAAGTTAAGTTTATATGTTAAAGTTCAGTAAAAGTTAAGCTAAGTTCCATGGTTGCTTTACAGTACTTTTATTAAAACTTCAAACCTTCCTCTTGATGGATCCCATCAGTGCCCACACAGTGGAAATAGACACGGAATTAGAGCATTTCTTCCATTTTGCCCGCATTTCGTCGAAGTTGCCCTTTGAAATTGCCCAGTACTTTTCGATTGGTCGAAATTCCAGTCAATTCGTATGATTCATTAGCTTGGGGACAAAAGCGATCTTGTTGGCAGCATACCACTCCAGAACCCCCTTGGAGTAGTGGCAGCAGGCCAAATCGGGCCAAAAGATGACTTTGCCCCTATGCTTGCGGATGAACGACAATACACGCTTTTTCAGGCATTCTTCGATGTAAACTTGGGATGTCATCGTCGAGGATGTGACGAATGGTTCCGTTTTCAGGCCACAAATGCAAATCGCTTACCAAATCATGGCCTTATTCGCGAACTTGTCGGCAAGCACGAACTTGAATCTTCCCGGCACATCCCCACGTCCAGTCGCGATGTAAAACTTTTGACCGGGAAGCTGCTTAAAATCGAGTTTGACGTATTTTTCGTCATCGATCAAGGTGCAGCCCTTGTGTTTCGTCAAAACACGGTCGTACAAGAGCCTTGCACGCTTTTTGGCCACGGAATTCTGCTTCATGTGCCGGTATCCTTCCATGGCAAGGATGTTCCGCACCGTTTGAAAGTTGGCGTTGTACCTTCTGGCCACATCTCGGATCGAAAGACTGGGGTTGGGTCTTACGTACCTCAACACCTTGCTAAGCGCAGCTGACGATCCCTGGTTCCAGTTTTTCGTGTGTCCACTGATTCCTTTCCACACTCAGGGATTCCTTGTAGGTTTCGAGCACTCGGCAAACTGTGGTTTTCGGCATCTTCTGCACTTTAGCCAGCTTGGAACCGCACCACTCCGGATATTCCAGGTGTTTGTGCAGTTCCATTTGACGTTATTTCTGAACGCGATCGACTACTTTGATCAAACTTGCACCAGTTGTTCTCTGTAGAAGTGTAAACAAACCATTGTCAAAGATTTTCGATTCCCAACACTAGAGGCGTGCTAGCGGTGCCCGAGGGGCGTACCAATTTACTTTTAGTCTGATCTTTTCATTCGGATAATGAGTTGTAAATTAATGAATAGACGAATACATTTTTTTAATTGCTCAAATTAGGTCCAAAATCCAATTAATTAAGAATTTCGAAAGAACCACTTCACACTGAAGAACAGAACTTATCTTATCGTCAGTTGTGTGTCGCCCGTGTTAACAAAACCCCTAAATCCACCACGGTGGGGCATCGATCAAGGCCGTAAAATTCACTTTCCAATTAGAACTCTCCAAGGTGAGTTATGTCCCGTTGTGCTGACAAATATTTCACATCCCCTGGCTTCTACCTCGCAACAATAGAGATCTGCTTTTTTTTTATTGATTTCCCAAGAACTAATCCTCAAAAACCAACCAATGACCAAGCGAAGCGGCGGTGTTTTATTGGTTGAACCGGGCGCGCACGCGCAGGGCCGAACTGCTGTAATTTGACACGTTTCAAAAACCGATAAAAGTAACACGCTTGTTATTCGTTTTAATGTACTCACACTCATAAGTTCCCACACCGCGTGCGCAGCGAATAAACCGAAATTTAATTTATGTCTGTAGGTAGTTAGTGACCGCGGTTTCATTTTGTAATCACTTTGCTTTCGGAGTGAAGATTTGTCCGTGCTTTGTTCTCCGCAGCTGTGTAAGATCTAGTTTTGTGGCTTTTCTTCCCCACACTTTTTGGAGGTTAGACAGACACGGATAACTACTTGTTGGACTAGTAAATCTCACACGCCGCGGTGGAAAAGCTATAAACTTAATTCGCTTTTATTCATCCTTCTCGAGAAGACTTTTCTCGTAAAAATGTACCATCTATAACGCAAAATGCTGGAGGAAGGCTTAATTCGGGAATGACTGCTTTTTTACGACTGGAACGCACAGATTAGACTGGGAAGTTTACACAAGTAAGTATTGTTCTGGTTTGTTCGATGTGAAGATTAATTGGAACCAGTTAAACGTGAGTCTTTTGTTTTACTCTTTGGTAAATTAGCAAAAGTTAATGAGCTTTCGAAAGTGCCGTATTTCAATCAATTTTAGGATAGGACTTTTAAGTTTTTGATTAGTCAGATGTTTTCTCGAATTGCAAAGAAACATTGTTTTAAAACTGGTTTGTTTTCACAGAGGGCAAGATTTGAAGTATCGAAACTCACAAAAACACTCCGAAAACTATCATCTCATTCTTGTTCCAATCGATTCCCCAGAAGAAGAGAAAAACTACAACGCTCCTTGTTATGTTTAACGACTTGTGCCATTCACAAAACACATTAGGCTGCCCATTTAAAAACATCAAATGTCGCCCTCAGGGCAACATGCACCGAAAACAAAACCAACCAAACGACCACCCGCCGCCCATCTGTCATTCATTCGGCGATCGATCGCGGGGAATGTTGATGACTGATCGCTCCACTCGTTTGCCGTTTTTCCCGTTTTACGACTGCTCCACTTGTTCGTTCAATGATTATTGATTTTTCTCCCTTCCATTCACTTCACTTTTCAGGAGGTCCTAATGAGCGAACAAAACAAAAGTCTATTAAAAACGCGATCGGCCGGCCGCCATCTTGTCATGACGGAACGAAAAAGAAAAAAAAATCAATTTCCGTCCGATCGAGCAACGAAAACAAAAAAACACATGGCGCTTCGGTTCGGTTCGGCCAGATTGATTATTTTTTAATTATTATTCAAATCTACTCGGATAATCATCGCCGTTAATTACCTGTCCCATCTCGGAAGAAAGTTGATTAATCGTCCTGACTTACGCTCAATTAATTGATTTATGACCACCTACGATCGATTGCCAGAAACTACTGAGTTCAGTCGCTCCGTTTGCTTTCATGTGACACGCGCGCCATCTGCGATTTGTCAACTGACAGCTGTTTGACAGTTTTACGATTCCCTGGCACTGCTACCGCTGCGCTGTTAGTTATGTAATTTCAGCTATTTATTCTAATTTGTCCGGTTCGAGTTCTTTCCACCACGCTGAGGCTAATTATCCTATTTTGCCATTTCCGCTGGACTTCGCTTTCCCACTCTAAACCCGTCGTTTTCATATAATGATACAGGTAATGGTAGTGTAACTAACTTCAGCACATTTCACCCATAGAAACGAAAACCGACGGGCAGTAGGAGAGCAAAACGTCTTTTTATTTTAAGTTATATCGCTGAGATGTATTTATTTGCTTGCCTCGGTCTGTCTGTTGTGCGATCCCGTGGTCCACACGTGAGGGCCGGGAGGACGGAGACTATGAGCTAAGGTGGAAGGCATTCATAAATTTTGTACCAAGTTGCATTTATGTTGGGCTTCTTGCTCCCAACGGCAGCAGCAGCCAAAGAAGCAACCGAGATTAAGTGCAATAAGACATCTCGTTGTTGCAGCTGAAGAACCTGCTGTTTTACCTGCTGCTGCTCCGG